TGTAGTGAGGTCGTTTTGCGAGCGCTGTGGGTCTTATTTGCACGATTTATTCGACCCAGAGGCCGCCATCTTGCCACACAGGGCAGTGTGCCGCCTTTTCCTGCGGCAGGCTCGAGTTCAATGCCTTGGATCAGCGCGAGATAACTTTTTGGTGGACCAAGTTTGCCGAGCGTTGAAAGAAGATCTTGGAAAGAGCGCCGTTGTCCAGAAACGGCAGGCCCGCAACCGCGAGCGAGATGGCTATGGACTTGCCACATCATTCCGCATGCAGGCTTTGCAAAAAGGATCAGAGGCTGATATCATAAACGCTGGCAGGGCAGATTGGTTTGATGCGGCAGGCGACGAGGAGTGCCTCTTCGAAGTGCCACCTTCTTTTTTGGATCTGGACGGGCAAGAGTGGGAGGCTGTGCACAACCCGAAGAAATTGGGAGCTCGCACAGAGCAAGCAGTTCGGAGTCATCTTCATGGCACTACTTTGAGGCCACCGCCCATTTTTGTTGGCGACAAAGCTGGTGCTGAGTCTACAGTAGCTGCAAAATTGAAGGCGTGGCTGAGCTCGGAAGATGGCCGTTGGTGGAAGGAGCAAAGATCCGCTCTGTTTGTGTCAAAGGCCGCTGCTAGTGACGATGTTTGACAGGGAGCGCCGTGCGAGTCACAAGAACGCAAGCTGCCGGGGAAAGGAACTCTTGCTTTTATCTTTGGGTTACGTTGCGGGATTGACGGGAAATACCCTATACTATACCCTATATGCATTTATACGAATACCTAGCACATCCAAAAGATCTGCTACGAACTTCTGGGAAGGTTTCCGGACGGCCGCTGGGGCTTGGGTTCGTAAGGGTTCACCAGTCCTAGGAGTCTTGTTAATCGAATAGTTTTGGGTTTTGCGCCCTAACCAGCGTTGCATCTCCCTTCCTATGAATGCTGAGTACTTGCGACTACAGGAGCTGCCTGATCTCGGAAGATGGCCGTTGGTGGAAGGCTCGCAATCCAATTTTCACGTTTTTGCGTCGACTTGGGCGGCGCCCTACGGGAAGGAAAGTGTTTTTTTGGATATTGCGCGTCACATCTAACGGTATTTGTCAAAGACTGGCTGGGCAGATGTTGATGTGGCAGGCGACGAGGAATGCCTCTTTGAAGTGCCTCTTTGAAGGGCCAGGATCCCCAGCAGCAATCACTTTAAAATAATTCAAGAATTTGGATTGTAAGGCCGTGGTTAGGTATGAACATAACAAATCAAGACAACAAGAAGAAGTCAAGAACAATAACAAGACGATGTCACCAAGGGTCTTGGTGAAAAGACTTCGGGTTTGCGTGCCCAAATTTCGCTCCAGGTGAAGAGACAGCTGAGTGAAGCACAGACCTGCCGCAAGAAAAAGATGGCCTAACGCATTGTTTGTGAAGGTCGTATAAGGGCCCCTGTCAGTGGGACTCTGCGGCGACACACACTTAGATGGTTGCTCGCAAGAGGTAGGATCAGAATGAAGTCCCACTTTACACGCGTTAGTCCTTGACTGGAAGGAAAGGAAACATGCTCGAACAGAAAGGCGACTGAGTCAGCGGATTTGAAGATGTTTTATCAGAATGTTTCAACCGCACGGGAGTAGGCAGCTAGACAAGATTTAAAAAATAGGTACACATTCAGGCGTCCCTGAATGCTTCCACCAGACTTCCGTAGCTTCGTTGGGCAACGTAGGAAGACTGGCCGTTGCCCCTGCCTCTTTTTGCTCGCGCTGTTAAAATTAGTTTTACATGCTAGACATTGTGTGCAGCCTTGGAAACAGGCTCTGACACACACACACACACTTAAACAATCTCTACACACTTGAACCCCTATTTTGAACCACACCGCTTGCGGAATAAACGCACTTAAACACACTTCAACAGCCGTTCACACACGCTGTCCGCCGATGTCCACGGCTTCGGTACACACTGACCCGTCCGCCACCTCGCCCGGGGCAACGAGGAGTCGAACTGTGGCCGGACCTGTGTCCGATGGGTATGAGAGGTATGGGTTATGAGGGGTGCTTCAGGGTATGAGGTTCTGGGTCCAGTGAATGCACCATTCCCCTACCAGTTTGACCTAATTTTGCTGGAGATGGTCATACAAATAACATCAAATAACCAATACTTAAAGACCTTAAGGAGGTAAAAAACAAAATAAACAGGTTTGGCTGGGTGTTTGGACTTGTAGGGGTTTGTTTTCAATACTGATGTGACTCGAAAGATGTAAAGATTCGAGGGAAGTAGTTGTGTTTCGTGGTTGCTCCTTTGATACGACCGCGAAGCAGTCGCCTCATCGACGTTGAAGTCGTCGGTGTTCGTCAGTGGAACGTCGGACGTTTGACCTGACTGACCGTTCTCGTTGGACCTCGCGTTGTTTCACCACCCGCTTTGGGAATCCCATGTCCCACGACGGACCTTCGTACGGACCTTCTGGACCGGGACCCCAGACCTCGTGGCCGGACCGCTGACGGACGGAAACCAGCGGTGATTTCACCGAATCGGAGTCGAAGAATTGGAGCTTCCAGAATGGACCAACATTCCACACAACAATTACAAAACAAACAATATCATATACCAGCAGTCACAAAGGGGTGGTGTTTAGTCCCTAAGTGAGTGGATAATGGGCACCCCTAACCTCCATTAAGCACCCCTTTGTGACTGCTGGTATATATAATCATTACAATTCAACATCATTTCAAACAAACACCATGCGGTGCCGACCGTGTTCCAAACCGTTTTGGTCCGATTCTCCGCCAGGCGGCGAGTAAGATGGTGGTGAAGCTGCTGATTCAGCCGGGGGCCACGGATGGCAGGGACGGCAGCCACGGCGAGGAGGAGGACGCCTCATGTGAAGAGTTCCAATAGATGAGCAAGGAGTTCAATCAACAGCTGTAAATGAGACTATTAGGTCCCTTCCCAATTGACATAGTTGATACACATTTACCAAGCTTTGTGAAGATCTCATCCAGTATTTGTTTAATCGATTGGCACCACTGGCATGCGGTCGGAGGGATTCATTCAGTTTGTACCAGGGGAGAAAAAGTTAGCTGCTGTTTTTGTCATCCATTCAGCCAATGAGGCAAATTGGACCAAGTCGGATTTGGACCTGCAGCTGTGTATTGATGATGTTCATTGAGCCCGATTCCTTGTCCCGAACACCTTTGTATAGTGGTTGATTGTTGCTGGCAGAGCTTATCTACGTAGATCTTCGTACATCTATAGAGAACTACAACTCTTGTTTCCATTTGTCCCCTTTGTGGAGTGAGGTGACATTTTGTCATAATTCCCCTCATGCAGGGCTCTTGATTTTGGCTGCATGGCCGTTCAGAGAGTTTCGGATTGTTGATTTGAGCCAGTCGACTGACCGAGGGTAGATCTCACCAGCTCACCACAGTACCATACGTCAGTCCCTCGCTTGGTCGCGGTGCGCGGTCGCGCGGCGCGAGCGGCGTTCGGCGCGTCAAGACGCCCCCCACGTGTCAGGACGCCGCTGAAGGAGGTCCCCGATGCGGTGGTGGAGTTGTTAGCCGAGATGGTCAAGGCAAACCCCAAGGCCATGTTGGTGGTCTTTCGGAGGTCATGGACGGTGGAGACCGTGCAGAGTTGTGAAGCGTTTGGAAAGATCATCGGAAGGGGAGAGGCATGGACATTTTACGGCAACCCAAGGTGTCTCAAGGTAGTCACAAGACGAACCCACTTCAGGTGTCGGGGAACGAAACGAAAGAAAACATCGGGTGTCACGTATCCCAGCAAGAACTGATGTTCGACGATTCTTGGCACCACCAAAGTAAGGAAATTCCTGAACTTCGGATCACCTAGTCAGATCATTTCTAGAATGGTCAACTGGACTCCCAGGGTATGGTTTGAATTGGGATTCTGGGGTCAGCGTGGAGGTGTAGCATCTTCAGGCTGCTTGTGCTGCGACACCTGGTGTTCCTTTGTAGGTCTCAACCATCTACAGTTCGAACTGTCCAGAGCTTCAATTTGCCAGAGCTTCTTCTTGCAATCTGTAAGCTGAGAGCCCAACCAGGTAGAGCGACAAGTCACCAACTGCTTGCCGTCACGCTCGTGTCATCGCACGCGCGCCCATCTCGTGCGTGTTTGACGAGGTCTCGGACCCCGAGTCGGCTGTCGCAGAGGCGCCTTTACCGGTGGACCGGTGGACCGGTTTTGCGCATCAGGTGATGTTCGATGTTCCCGTCATGGTGGTTTACTTTTTGTCCATGTTTATCAGCAAGTCCAAGTCTCAGACTGGCATTTTGACCATTGACCTCCTTTGTTCAACCAGCCCTGTTTGCGGGGCAGTCCCTGGCAGTCCCTGGCAATGTGCGGTCGTGGCGCTGGGCTTGGCACTGGTCTTTTGCGATACTCTTGGAGTCATTGAACCTCTTTTTCAACCAACTCCGGGATTGACCATGTGAAGTCGACGTGTGTGTCCATGTCAACCATGTGAAGTCGACGTGGGGCAAGGTACAGGGAGTCTTCGAACTTCAACATCTTCAACTGAAAGAAGGTTCATTCAATTCTAGCCTTCCAGATATAGCCAATGTCCCTTTGAGCCTTAAAAAACTGGACGACATGACCCCAGTTTTGAAAGGAAAAGGCAATATGTTCGGTGATTGGTGGTAAAAAAATAGAGATCATTCAGTTCTAGGGTGTATGTCTTTACATGACCACTATAGGTGCGTCTCAATACAGCGGTTCAACACCTCAATACAGGGATGTCGGAGTCGCCCCAGTCACCCGTGTCAGTGCGTCCGGAGTGTGACATCGGGGGGGTGCCGTGGTGGTGAGACCTGGTTTTCTAGGGATCCAGTTAGTACCGAACCGACCCGGTTCGGTACGACTGGATCCTCCACCTACATGACAGTGTCGAACACATCACCGTACCGACCCGGGTCGGTAAATCGGGGTCCAAGTGTTCAGGACTATGAGTTTAGCTTCCACCCGCTCGTTTTGTTCTGTTCTTGCGCGCCGCGGCGGATTCTGTGGTCCAAGTTTCAAAATAGATCTCACGATTTGTGGCGAATTGCCACATCAAATCTCAATTCCAGAGCACCGCGTGGTGCTGAGCACGGCGGCTGTCGCTGTCCACTTTGGGGTGCTGTCAGACAGCACTATAGTGACAGTGCCATGAAGTTGGACATCGACCGAGAATTCTCGGAGGAGAGGATGCCCAGCCGCTGGGTGTATCTGAACTCAATACGAAACCTGTCTCGCCCAGTGCCCAGACGCTCCGTTCACAGCCCGACCGGTCCCTCAAAACCTATAGGGATTTGCTTCGACCCCAGACCCCTGACCCGACGATTCGGGGCCGAACGCGTCGCGTCGACGGGTGGCTAGGAACTCGACGGGTGGTCGGTGGCAAGTTCGTTCGGCTGAGCTACATTCCCATAGCGATTGGCCTCCAGTCCTACCTTCGTTTCGGTGAAGGTGGGACTGGGGTGGGTGCCAGAAAAAGTCCAGTCATAGCGAACCTGAGGAGGTATGACTGGAGGTGTAGGGCATACCGATTGGAGACCTGCAGTATTGCGAGTGATCGAAGAGAGAGCCAGCCGGTTCGGGCTGGTAGGCAAACAGAGTGAGCCGGGGCATTCCCACCTTCTTTTGCCCGTACTCTTTGGCTTTGCACACACTGTTTCGATGAGGGTTCCTATTTGTGGAAGTCACTGGCAGTTGTTGCTTGGTGTCAAATTCACCAAAGCTATGGCTATGCCATGTCGTTCCAAGCCAAAGTTTGTTCCTGGAGGTGCACTCCTTTTCTCATCTTCTACCTCGAGCCTCCGCAAAGACCTTTATCAGCGTTTTTGTTGTTGATCTAATATGTTTGCGTTTTTGTTCGAAAAAAATGCGTTTTCAGAGATGAGGAGTCAAAACATGGTACAGAGTGAATCTTCATCCGGACGCGTCCGGTGCGGACGCTTAAAGACGCCTTTGGGACGCAAAAAGACGTGTTTTGGGCGCCTTTGGGACGCCGAAAAAAGGTCTCAGGACACTGTCTAAGGAGGATCTGACAGGGCACAAACAAAAAAAGTAACATGTCATGAACTATGAAAAAACATGTGTTTTCTTTCAGAAACCTCTTTTTCTTGGAAAGGCAAATTTAAAAGCAGTACTCAGCTGCTCACTTTTCAGCTTCACATCGCATCCTTTGCTCCAGCTCCCTCCTCATGTGATCGCACTCTGCTTCTTGCTTCTCACATGTTCTCGCTATCGCCGAGAAGCTCTCGCCGCACACAGGAGATGAGGCAACTTCAAGATCTGGGAGATCCCATTGAGGAGGCCACCTCAGATGCCGAAGCCGAAGACGCAGGCGCGGCCGGGCGCCGGCATAGAGGCTGGACCAGTCCAATGGGTTCCAACCGGATGGTGGACACCGAAAGACGTCGATGCCGGTCCCCCGGTCGTGGGTGTACAACCAAATGGTAGACCTGGTAAACTTCAAAGTTACCCAGACTGAGAACGGGGCTGATGAGGTGGTGCCGATCAAGGTCACAGGCTGGTGAGGACCCTCAAGTTTGGTCATGGTACCCAACTTTTGAACCGATGGATTGTGCTTTTATGTGTTTGATTACACATGCATACACAATATACTTAATATACAATATAACTTAATATAACTCTCCAACAGGTGGCCACCTGCGACTTTTAAGTCAAAAGCCTCCAGAGGAGAACTGTTGGAAGGTGTTGGTATATATGTTTCGATCAAAGCACCGTCATCTGGATCTCCCGTCAGAAAAACCATCAAAACGATGCACCTCCGGTTGTATCCGGACGGTCGTTGTTCCGCGCAGGCGAATCCAGTCCGGGGGACTCTCCCAAGGAGGCTGCAGAGAGCGTCATGACGACGCTCGGAACGTTCGGGCTCGCTCGGTGCGAATGGGGCGATGCCCAAAGACGCCGCTGACAACGCGTAGCTGACAGATCGGTACAGCGTCATCAAACTGAAGATGTGCGACAAACACATCTCCTCATACGATCCAGCAGACATATAAGGCAGAAAATGGATGAAAACGGATCCTTGAAACCAGCCCCACTGGGCTCATTTGGTTTGTCAGTTTAGATTGTGCGGAGGGGACAAAAAAACAGCTGGTGGAGGAACTTGGGAGTGGCAAGCAGCTGCCCCAAAAGAAGAAAGCAGAGGCAGCCAATAGAACGCCTCCACTTCTTAGAGATCGTATCACACTTGCCTTGGAGTCCGGGAGGCCACTTTGGTTCAATCTCGGGAGTTTGAGCAAACTGAGGACGACAGTAATCTTTGATGAGGAGAACAACTTGCTGGAGTTGTGGGGTGCCCTAGAGGTTTGTTGTCGTATTTGCACCGGTTGACCACCTGAGCAGACGCAGGCTTCAGCTCTCTTGAGGAATGGGGAACCGTTGACAACAGAAGAAAAGCTTGTCTCATCACATCTCGAAGTTTTTGTTGCTGACCTGCTTGGTATACTTGAGTCACCAGCACAGGGGTGAATCCATCACTGAAGAGTCTTAATAAATGGGCACCGCTCAAAAGAAGGCACCCGACAAATATGGTCCTTTCGCTGGCCACCAGAGAAGAGTGGTGTGAATCCATCAGCCCATTGTTTTGGCGTGATGGCGATCAGGACACAGACAGAGCTTGTGGTCCTGAAGCAGAGTTGGGATATGCTCATGGAAGCTTTGGGAGGCGAACGAGAGACGTGGATCGCACTTTCTGCGAACAAGTTGGATCGTGTCGATGTACGAAGCACCCAGCGAGTTCCGAGAGACAAGAACACGTTCATATTAGCAAAAAGAGTGTTTTTTCCCAGGTTGACCTGATCATGTAGAACGTATATTTGTCCACCAGGCGATGTACCACAACCCCATGAACTGGTATTTGCGTTACGCAGGCCATGCCGAGGCATGGTGTTCCAGGTCTCTTGAGAGTCCTCATTTCTCTCCAGGTGAACAGCAGGCTCTTATTTTGCTGGTCTCCAGTGACCTGTTTTCTAGGCCTAAATGACCTGGTACAGGGCACCTAGGTGGTGGAGTTCTTCCATGAGGGGGTTGTTATGCCTTGTTGTGCCCAATCTGAGGAGACTGTGGGAGATGCCATCTATGGAATTCTCACAGAACGTTTGACAATCCTGAAGGAGACTTGCAGGTTTGGGGGCTGTTCAGGATGGGATGTCAGCTGAAGGCTAGTTGTTGGTTTTGGTTTTGCGGTTGGGCGATGTTGGGTGGTAGAAATGAGACTGTCCTCGCCTTCCAGAAGCATTTCATGCTTAATGTGCTATCGTTTTTTTTGCATCCCCTAATTGGCAAATCACGATTCTTTGACAATCACCGGACACTTGAATCAGTGGTTGCAAAAACAACGAGCCAATCGGAGGCAAAAGCTCCAGTGGTCGTACTGTACGAGGCCTCACGAGAAAGAAGGTCTTGAATTGATCCTTTACTCATGACATGTTATCTTGTATCAATTGAAGGTCGACACACACACTTCGACATTGGTTTTCAGTTAGACTCAATTGCCACGATGGGAAGGAAGGCGATGGAACAGTATGGCGAAAAGTCCAAGAAATTGTAGGTGTTTGAACATCGATTGTTTCCCTTGACTGTGGTGGCGAAGCGGCTCAACTGCACATCTGCGGTGACGAAAAGGGGGTTTAGGGGAGGAAGCATGAACCACCATGGAAACAAAAAAGAAGGATTGGAACAGCTTGTAAAAAGTTCTCGCAGGTACACACGGGTGATCAATCCGTGCTTCCCACTCCAAGGCATAGCTTCGTTGCACTGAGTTTGCCAAGGAGTGCTCAGTGCCCCTGCTTCAGTGGGAAAAGGTGAGAACATGGAAAACCCTTAGAAACAGGGTGTGACACACACACGGTGCCGCTTCGCGGCGCTTGTGTGGGAGGCCTAAATAGACACCTAAAAAGCCTTAGAAACGAAAGGAAAGAAAGACAGAAAGAGCAGCGCTAAGAGGGCAAGAAAGAAAGATAGGTGTAGAAAAAGTGAATACTTAGCCCTTGACTGGGGTAGGGAAACAAGCCTCAAGAGCGACCTAAAAAAGCCTGAGAGAAAGCCCAACAAACGAAGAAAAGCGCAAGAAGGAAAGTGGGGGGCAGGGAGGGGGTGTATGTCCATGTGTGTGTCCGTGTGTATGTATGAATACTTAGCCCTCTAGAATTACTGAATACTTAGCGGAAACGAATTAAATGCAGTAGTTAGGGAGCGGGACTTTAGTCTTAAACCGCCCGGGTAGAGAAGACTAGAACAGGAACAACACAGGGAAAGGTACCGACACACAAGTGTGTCGAGTACCATTTCCCTATGTTGCCTTAATTAGGTAGGGGGTAGAACTCGGCTGGGGGGGGGGGTTGGGAAACCTGCCTGATTGCGGGTGGAACACCGTTTTATAGCCCGGCGGCTCTGGATTCAGTGGTTGAGTGGATTCCATCGTTTATAGCCCGGCGGCTCAAAGTTCCGTTAATTCAGTGATAAAAAAGATTGAACGAAAAGGCAGTTATAAAAATGAAGGGTCGGTGATTTCCGGTATGATTTCAGCGCCTCCTTTCGGAGGGTCACACCCAGTACCCGAGTGGGAAGACTGAGCGGTCCACACTTCGACATTGGTTTTCAGTTAGACTCAATTGCCACGATGGGAAGGAAGGCGATGGAACAGTATGGCGAAAAGTCCAAGAAATTGTAGGTGTTTGAACATCGATTGTTTCCCTTGACTGTGGTGGCGAAGCGGCTCAACTGCACATCTGCGGTGACGAAAAGGGGGTTTAGGGGAGGAAGCATGAACCACCATGGAAACAAAAAAGAAGGATTGGAACAGCTTGTAAAAAGTTCTCGCAGGTACACACGGGTGATCAATCCGTGCTTCCCACTCCAAGGCATAGCTTCGTTGCACTGAGTTTGCCAAGGAGTGCTCAGTGCCCCTGCTTCAGTGGGAAAAGGTGAGAACATGGAAAACCCTTAGAAACAGGGTGTGACACACACACAAGCACGATCTTCGGCTCGGACTTGTGCCATCATGTGCCATCCCTGGTGTCACCTCCCCCCAAATACAAGAAGACGTCCCAAATACCACCTGTCCCTTCGATCTGGCCATGCGAACCCGACCCGAAGAAACCTCGACCCGAAAAACCTCCACGACTCTCCAATCAGGAGAGCTTCAAGGGGCGGCCCAGAGCGATCATCTCCTTGAATCTCTTCAATGGCTTCCGCTTGCTTTGCGAGCCCCGGCCCGGAAGGCCTTTTTTTGGTGGTCGCGGCGGATAGGCCGAGTGACGCGGATTTTGTTTGAATTGTGTGACGCGGATTTTGTGTGTGTGTGTGTGTGTGTGTCAATATTGTGAATCCTGCATCTTACATGGTGCTATACGCGAGATGATGAAATGCTTTGGTTGGTTAAGAGATGTCAATGAGCCAGTGAACGTGTAGTTATATACCAAACTAGACAAGTAGAACATCTACCCAGACAATCCACGTATTCACTTTTTTGCATGCATGTATCATGCACATGGGGATTTGAACTTAGTGTTCGATTTCACCAATTCTACGTAGGGATCATCCTGATTGGGTGTCCTAGAAGTCCAACATGGCAGTTTTTGAATTGGTTGGTGACCCAGAACGGATCATGCGAGAAGAAATCATTGCCCATATCAGGGACGGCATCTCACTAATTGTCCTCTTCTCTTCAAAACAAAAGAAGACAAGCCTGGACCAATTGTGTTTTCAGACCCTTCGATTCCTTCGCAAACCACAGTGATGGTTTTCTTCCTCCAAGCCCTCGCCCTTTGTGACCCCAACCTCTCAGGACAAAGCCCGTGACCCGGAGGAGTTGAAGACCCAAGTGGAGACTTTGGGTTTCAAGCAACTTGGAGCCGGAGACTCACTCAGAGACCACGTCACCGTACTGCTCTGGATTGGAGACCCAGATGGTCGGATAGAAAGAGACCTGGACCATACCCCCGTCTAGAGAACGGAGTGAAGAGGCCAAGGCGGCCAAGGCTTTGCAGATGCTGAAAGTATTTGGACCACCTACCTGCCAAACCCAGTCCTGATTCGCGGTTTCCCCGAAAACTCCCGAGGTAGGTGTGGTCTTTTTGGGATTAGGTTTCTGCAGGGGGTTAGTTCTTGGGACCACTACTCTTCCGGCAGTGAACTTAGCGAAGTGAAGATGGGTTCCATGTCGCACCAACAAAATAACATGCCATGTCGCACCAGTCATTTGCTTTGAGGGACCTTTTTCATGCGCCACCGACGCATAATGATTGAACGATATTGATTTGTGACACCGAACTTGGAGGTTTTCCCAGGAACATCCGGCCAATCTGACCCAAGGCACTTGGGGCACGAGATCACTCAGCAGCGAGTGGATGGCGTTTGTGACGCCTTCTTAGCGACTGGGCGGATCACCGATCGGTCGGCCGTTACCCCTAGGGATCCAAGTACCTTGTCAGTGTCGAACACATCACCTTCTGAGAAGGTACTTGGGTCCCTAGGGAACATGGCGGAAACAGCTTCACTCCATGCGACGCGTCGGCAAGTGGGTCAAGAAATGGGATTACATGTCGAAGGACGTCGAAGGATGCGATCAAATGGGATGCCCATGGGATGCCCAGGGTATGAACAATACCCTTCAAGTCCAAAGACCCAGTAAATCCATGTAACACCTGGCCTTTTACCCCTTATATAAGTATTGGTCTTGTATGACCATCTCCAGTAAAACGAGGTTTTTGACTTGTATAGGGATAAACTCATTGCCGTAATTATATGCCGTGCATTGTTCGTGAAGAGAAGCCACTTCTAACTGACGAGAGCACTCCCGTCGCCCAACGGTGTTTTTTTGCCCCAAAACCAAAAGAAAGAGTGAGTAACACCAAAGCCAGAAAATCCCACCGGACTGCGATCTTTGCCGAGAAACGATCAGTTGGGGGGTTGACTGGGGGTTCTGGCTTGATCGGCAGTCCGTCCTGGCAGTCCCAGACAGGTCGTGTTTGGGAAATGCACCGTGCCCATCTGCGACCCCCAATGACACGAGGCGCTCATGTCGCAGAACGTGGCAGAGCTGCCTCCTGGAAGCGTGAACGTTTGGCAGAAGGTGCTCAGCTACACAGGCTCATGCTGCAGGCGGACTGGCATGGAGAAAAGCTGCAGATGAAAACACAAAAGCTGGCTGGCTGGGTTTTACATAGTTAGATAATGAATGATAATAACATGTAGAAAGTCTGGACAGGAATTCACCCTGGGCCTCAAGCAGCATTGACCCATGTTCATATCCACCACCACTGGAGAACTCGAATTTTCTTGGTCAGTCCCACCGCCTTCTCGTCTGCCGACGGCGGAAGAAGCACTCGCGGCACGCGGAAGCGAGGTATGTGACAGCGACCTATTCCGAACGTTTGAAGATCATCGAGGCAGGGAAACATGAAGATACTCCGGTCTTTTGGGGCGCCTGGATGATATTCTACGATATTCTACTTAATTCTTATGTTGAACGGTAGGAGGTAAAGAATCAAACAAACCATGAACATCCACGTCCGGTGATTTTTGGTGTCAAGAAGTACCTGGACCCTCCACAGTGCCTTAGAACATGGGACATGATCCCTTAAAAACAGGTATATACTTGTACCCATTTTCCGAGGTACTTTGAGACTCCAGGTAGACCTAAAGATGGAAAGATGTCAATCATTTGAAGTATGTGGTTCGATGTCTTTTTTTTTGATGATCTAAAATACTGTACGATTCAAAATATGTCTTGCATTCAAGTATTTTGCAGATTGTACTGGATTTTGTTTGAGAATTGTTTTGAACAGACAGACATTGGTTTGAAAGAGATATAGACAATAGGAAATCTAGATTAATATATGATCAATTAAATGCAAAAGTCCTGCAGTGCAGCCCATTTAGCTATAAAACAGAATTGAACAAGCATGTGCGACAAGATATGTATAATATGTTCAATCTAACCTGTCCTGCCAGGCAAACATGCTGCATCGCGATGATTTGTTTGTAGACCAATGATGGATGTTCCATCGTCAAGCACCCTTTGGTCCTAGATCCAATGCTCCCCAACGTTCTTCTGAACTTCCACATCTACAGTTGTTGTGAGGGGAATCAAAAAATAAAACACGTGGCCCCCGGCCGACCTGCGTTTTGCTGCTCCACTTGGTGTTTCGCTCTCGCAGCCGCGCAGGACGACTGGATTGAGGTCTTGGCTGCTGCGGAGTCCGACCAGCAGGCGCACGCCGGTCACGGCGCCAAGGGAGGCACCACGCCCAAGCCTGGCGCCGGCAGCACGTCGCCCAAGCCCGGCGGTGATGGCGAGGGCAAGGCCAAGGGAGGTGAGGAGGAGGTGGCGGTCACGCGCAGCTTCGGGGCGACGCCGGACCAAATTTAGGGGCACAGAGTGTTAGTTTTGAGTTGGGCGGGTGGGGAGGGAGGGCGGTGAAACGGAGGGTTTTTCAATGGCTACGATTCGAAATCTGAGTCAGCCAGGCCAAGTGCAGTAGATGGCCCAAACATAATATTTCTGGAACTTCAGAGTGGAGCTTGTGTCGTCAGTTATGGAGTTGACAGTGGTGGAGGATTGACGAATGGTTGGTTGATGTTGGTTGATTGTGGGTGGTTGATGAATGTACGTGCGTTTGTGATTTTGTTTTTCATGCACATGCCTTCAGTTGATGGCCTTTGTGGCTTTGTTGAGGCAATCCAATCCCATACCAGTACCAATTTTGAATGACCGCACTTCTGGGAGCATCTTATTACAAGACTTCTGTATTCTTGTGCTTGCGAATTAATATCTCAGAACTGATCAATGCCTTGCATAGCTGATAGGGGCCAAGCCACACAAGAACACACTTCCATTGATTCAAAGTAAATCGGTTGCGAGTCTGTCACCGTTTTTTCGTGGAAAAAAGCACGTCATGAACGACTGAAGATATATAACTCTCTACATTAGCACTGGCCTGTCAGAGCTTTCAGAGCAGACATTACATCGACCTGAGCCCGGTCGGTGGTGTTTTGTTCTCCAAACTCTGGGGTTGTGGCGCAAACTTCTCGCTGAGGATGTGCAGCTTTAGCATGGAGATCATTGGTTTGCAGAGTGAAGGCAAGGGATGAAAAAAACGGGGTCAAGTCAAGCCTTGACACTGGCAGAGATCGACCAGGGTGGACCCCCGAACAACGGACCGGCACAGATTAAACGGTTGTGCTGTGGGCGGGCAGGTTAGATTCCGTCGGTTTGGGTTGTTTAACTTACAGCGGGTTGGAGTTCACGACATAGTCAAAGGCCAGAGGATCAAGTGCTGTACATAGCTTTTCCAGGATGACAGTTTTCCGTGGTGTTCGGGTTGTGTTGGACTTCATGTTTGTGTGCGGTGCCTTTTTTTGGACGAACATCTCCGAAACAGCCTGAATTTGGCGCGGATTATTTCAGGTTCAGAAGACGAGTAGCCGTGCGATCACCATCACAAACCTGGTTTTGATTAAGATGTGTTTTTTGATAACAAAAATATCCTATGGGCAAATCCCCTTCTGGGGAATATATTCCTTTATACTTTTTCCAGGTTCCTGACGCAAATCCAAGCAATGTTTCACTTGGGGCTCCAAAATACCCAGACACTCCATGGGACTGGCAGATTTACATCAGCTGACCCCCAAATCACTCCATAATGTAGGCATACCATTCATGGAGTGTTTGGGATATATCATCCAAACCCGTCGACATCACCTGTTGGGTCTGTCCGAACTTACCTGTAACAGTCAGTACGCAATTATATATTTTAGAGAAATGCCTGCAACCTAACCATCATCCATTGGCCCCTGGATTTTTAGGATAGACCTAAAGAACCGATATAGGTCCTTGGATGTTTGTGGAACCCACAGCAGAAAGTCTTGACTATACCGTACTCGTACCTATTATACGCCATAGATGGCCTTTTATTAGTTGGTTGATTCATAGAGAGGATACCCCCAACTGTACCACCAATAAGTTAAATGGTACCTGGCACCGACCCCTCGATTCTTCCCGTTCGTACAGACATCACTGTATATGATACGCTGTTCGAAGGGTGGCTGCAATAGCCAGGCCATTCACTGCAACCCCTGAGATCGGAGGGTTCTTTTGGAAGAATCTGAGGGTTCAGGTGATGGAAGAATGATGACCCAACTGGAAGGTGATGGAAGCATTTTTTGGGATATGCACTGATGACTGATGTGTGTTTTTGACTGATATGCACACCAAAAACCCTAGGATTGCTTCACCTCCCGGATCAATAACCTTTGTTCTTCAGTTCGTGACCCAGACTGAGATTGGTGCTTCGGTCACTTCAGCCTCTTTTGAGGGTCACTGGCTGGGACCCTCAAGTTCAGTCACTTTGAAAGAGGCTGACACCGATCCAATGTGTGACGCTCCTTTCCAAAGGCCACCTGCAAACCTACCAGAATCGATACCACGCGCGAACATGTGCGCATGTCTTAGCACCAGAGTCGGCAACAAAACACACAGCTGCCTTTTTCGGTGAAGCTCTTCTTCCATCTTGCCAAACAACTGCAGTTCATGTGCGTTCGTCTTCCGTTTTCCACTTGGAGAATCGATCAAATCAACAAAAACGCGCCGTTTGCAACGCTTACCCCCGAGTACTCGGCATCCAAACCCCTCCTGAGCGGCGTCCTTCGGCGTGCGGCGAGCCGCAGCTCGCGACGTCCTTCGCCGCTCGTCCCCCGGCTTCGCACGGCTCGGCTCTCTCCAAACCCATACACGACCAATGGGACTGCCATAGGACTGACGAGAAACGGCCAGGGGTGGTTGACTGGGGGTCTGGCTTGATCGGCAGTCCTGGCAGTCCCATATGGCATGTCCCATGTGTTGTGTCTGGCAAACGAAGATCCAGGCTGGATGGCTGAGCTGTTGGAAGTCTTTGGCGCCCCTCGGCGAGTCGAGGGACTCGAGATACGCTTCGACTTCGAGACGCGGTCGACCTGGGAGCCTGGGTCGACCAGGGTCGACCAGGGTCGACCTGTCCGGTGAGACAGATCTTCTTAGCAATTTGATCATGATGCATATTTAACTTATATTTTAAAAAAAGAAACAACAGAACATGAAAATCTGTGCACATATCAAATGGGAGTTGGATTTTTTCAATTAGTAGATTGATCAGACATCGATCTTCGAGAGCACGGGAAGTCCTTGGTGTTACAGGCGCCTATGAGTGTTCTACGGCTTCGTCCTTTGAACACATGCCAAAACGCCTAGGCACCCGCCCCAGTCTGGTCCTGAAAACTGAGGAGAGATGTTGTATGATCAACTCCAGTGTTTCATGAGGTCCAACTGGCCTGTAGGCTCAACCTGACCTGTAGGCTCAACCGAGGTCATTCACTGACCTGTCCAGGATGTCCAACCGCGCTGATGTCCTCCGTCAACATCGTGGGACTTCTAGAAGCCATGCCAATTGGTCCAAACAAGCCATGCGTATCTGTTGACCTCCGCTTGGTATCCTGTGACAGCTTTGGGTAATTGCATGGTCCTTGGTGTCAGACCGCCACTGTCCATGCCGGTGTCACGTTGGACCCGAGGGTGTTCGTGACTCACAAGGCGCTGAAAAGGGCTCACACCTGGCACACTCACCCTACTCACCCCCCATGAAGGAGAACATCGACCCTGACCCTAGCAGTTCGGAGGAAGTCGCTACTCGGAAGTAGGAAGAACGAACTGGTTTTTAAAGGTCGGGGGCTGCCCCTGTCACATCCACAGCCCCCCACACCAAAACACTCCGACATGGAACTGCTGCAGAGGTCTCACCCAAACCAAGCTTCTTCTTTCGGAGAGCGACGAAAGAGGACGCCAACTCCACGCACGCAAGCCAAAACTGGACGACCCGGGCTCCAGTCGTGCCTCGGGTTCGGTATGACTGAACCCTCCTGGCACCAACTCCAGTCCCACCTCCTCAGATACGACTGGAACCCTACATCCTGAGACCCTTTTCCCACCCAAATGACTCCACTCCCTAGGGCTCCAGTCGTACCTCCTCAGGTTCGGTATGACTGGACCCTCCTGGCACCCACCCCCCCCCGTCCCACCTTCTCAGAAGGTATGACTGGAGCCCTAGGGACTGGACGAAGCGCGAAGTCGATCGAAAAAACCGATCCGCGGCCTGAGAACCTGGTGGAGAGGATCGGAAATCCCTCGCATCTCATGGAGGCTCGAGACTGGGATCAGTTGGAGGTTGGTTGGAGATCGCATCCTTGGGCGAATGGCACAGTTGTTTGGCACCCCACGATGTTGGACTGCCTGGAGGGTCCTGACCCTGTTTATTCAATGATTGCTTTTGCCATCGAGAAAAGGGGCCCGTTGCATTTTTTTTGGGTGGGGAGGTCTTGTTTTGGACCAAACCACACAAACTAGGCCAATCTTGTCGTTTCATATATATATATATATATTGTAATATATTATATATATATATATTTGAGATAGGTCCGACTGCGAACCCGAGAGCGTCCGCAACATAATTGCAACTCTCCTCTTTTTCCAACTACACGTCCTTCGGCTCTTCGAAAGCAGCTGAACCTGGTCGAGAGGTGTCTCGAAGCTGACCTGATAGTACCGGGACGATCTGGGATACCGGGACCAACTGGGATAGTCACTATATACCATGGGGCCCCACAAACCATCCAAAACCTGGTTTTCTCTGACGTCAGGGGGTCAATGGATGTAAATATGCCAGTCCCATGAAATTCGTCGTGTTTGGGATATGCGGGTTGGACGAAACAGAAGTCGCGTTGAGAACTTCAACACGCCAAGTTGGTGTCGAATTATGATTGTCTCAACCTAGCAGCCTCAGACATACACCCATCTTTTTTCCTCCGAAACCAGACGAACCACGCGTCTTCAGGACATACACCCATCACCCGTCATCGTCCTCACCGGAATCCACCAAAAATCACGTTCAGTCGAAAGGAGTGTGAGCTGCTGGCCATTAGCATGATCCTGAAGTCCAAGTCGAAGAAGGCCGGCATATGACCTGGGCCGGCATGATCCGCCGAAACCACGTTCCACTCTGTCAACCCGTGGGGGGGGGGGCACTGCCAAACCATTCAACTCTGTTTCGGAGCACGTGGGGAGGAATCCACCGGCTGGTGATCGGCCAATTAAGAGACTCAGAGACGCAGCCTAGCCGCCCAGCCTTCCCAGAAGAATGAGTAAACAGTAAAGCCGTAACATCAGGTTGTTTTTGTTGTGAACACTGTAATCACGAAAGGTAGCTTGAGCTACCTGAGTTCTCCTTGCTTTAGCAAAAATGTATTACAATCAGGAGTTGGGATTGTGCATTGAGTTTGGTCCTGTAAGAGTTGATTCTGTTCGTGGGGGGGGGCCCCCCCTGGATCAAATCCCCCCTGCGCCGGTTCACGCCGGACTTCTACCAGGGTTACTTGTGATTGCCTGCTACCTTTCGTTCACCCCCTCCTCTCTCAAGTCAATGGTGGTTGGAAGGCTGAAATTGAGGAAGATCGAACCAGATTTGTATGTTCTTGAGGTCCATGACACGTCCAAACGACCTGAGATGCAGCCTTTTCGATGGGCCAGGCTACTAGCGCCAGCCAAACGCTGGTCTTTGGAATGCACCAAAATGGGAAGAGGAAGTATGAAGCTCTACCAGCACTCCCCGAGTCAGGACCAGTATGAAGTCTCCCCACTGGACTTGTAGGGTTTGGAATCATTTTGATTGACTTCCATCCATGGTCAACCATCAACCACTCGTTCACGGAATTGGGCGAACCAAAGTTTCGTTGCCTTGCTCACCATAATGACATAATGACCAAAGACTGTACCTGCTAGACCGGGGTCTCTTTCGAGCCTCTTGGAGAGCCGGTCTCCAGAAATTGGGCGCCTCGGGCAGGAGATTGGCTTTGACATCTTCAAGCCCGTGATGCTCACGGCGCTCCGCTCCTTGCCCCTCGGACCACCGTGATGCTCGCGGACGCCCCGCGGACCGAGCTCGCGGCGTGCCCGACGGAACAAACATCGGTCCTCGACCGGACCGCGGCCTCATCCAAAAGGCAGTGCTCAAAGGTCTGGAGATAACACATGCGTTATGTTTAATGTGTCAACTATATATAGTTCATTTATGCGTATTATATGCGACTTCTTTGCATCTTGATCAGAACCTCAATTTGGGATCGAGTTCCTCTTACCTAAGGGACACAGCGGGCGGAACTCCCGAACACTGTTCTTTGTTTTTAAATGAGCAAACGATCAAAACATGCGAATACATTGGGTGTGTCCTATTACCTGTAACTGTCACAGTCACTAGACAATGATCATCATTTGTGAACAAGGCCTGGTACCTAACCATCATCCACTGTTACGGCATGACCCTAAACCTATATGTTGAGGGCTTTGTTTCTGTGGAAAACGATATGGTCCCCACCAAAAACGATAATTGTGTCAAGATGTAGTGACTGGGTACAAAGATGTTTGTGGTTACCAGATGTTATTGCATGTGCATGTTTATTTGAGCATATTTGAGCTAAACCGATGGGCACAACTGTTCATCAATGATAACCCCAGACAACTTCCCAAACTATAATCCAAACGATAAGCGAACGATAACCTAAATGTCACGCCCGGCACTCCGTAGACCTACTTCTCCACGTTACTAGTGTTGGTCCGAGCTACTAGGTCCCCGCTTATTTGCTGTGATCCTTGCACAGCCCGGTGCCACAAGAACCAAGTGCATAAATCAAGTGCTGCGCCATTCCTGTGCTGAAAACACTGTAAGCCTCTAATCTGAGGTTGTGAGTTATATTTTGTGTTTTAGCCTATGTGCTGGTATGCTATGCTAACTACGGTTTGGAGAAACATTGGAGAACGATATGGACCCCACCAAAAACGATAATCATGTTAAATGGTATTGTGCTACACAAGTAATTTTGTCCGCTGCTCATATGATGGCCATCTTTACCAAACAGGGTACGCAAAACAGCCTCGACGATGTCCGTTTTGGTGCCGTTTCGCACCAAAACGGCCTGAGGCTCCCGACCAGTTGGAGCTCCTCCCACGAGACTGCCTGGGAGTGGCTGTGGTCCACGATCAGTCGAAACCTGCGAGAGGGCACCCAAAAGGCGATCAGTGGCGAGAAGAAACGCAGGGGACTGGGGTAACTATACAGCTCTATTGGGATGTTTTGAGGCTTTTAGATGGGTTCCGGTGCAAAACGAACAATTGTGCTTAATAAGTACTAACAGATCGCACATGGTGATGTGTTGGGGTTTGCTGGCTGTTGGCGGGACCAGCGCCCATTCAACTTTCTCCAAAAGTGAGGGACCCTACTACCGTGCCTGATTTTTCAGCACCTCACAAGACGCTTCCCACGGGATGCACCGTGGGTCCGAAGCGAATGACCCTCCGATTCTCCGATCGTCGAAATGGTGCGAACGGCCGCATGCGCGTTGGTGAGTTCCACCCAGGCTCCAGGTCATTCTGACCACATATCTCGCAGATTGGGGGAGAATCAAGTGACGCGAGTTCACCACGTCCTGTCGCAGGTGCGGGTCTTCAAGCCCTACAATTCTCAACTCTTCTCGGCACTCAAGGACCAGCACCCCGGTGAGAACGAGGAATGAAAAGAGACAGAGGGAGATGGCGGGAACTGTTTTCTTTCGTTGTGTGAACTTGGTGAAAGCAGAACTTATGACTTTGACTTGATTGGATTCCTTTCGTATGTGTGAATTCTCTTTGAGGCGGTACTTCTGATTCTACAAAACTTGGGGCACTCACATTCAGAAAATATGAAATGAAGGTCCAGATCTGGAGGGAACATCATGGAACAAATATTTGCACGTTGGTGGGGCCGAGCAAGATTGGAGCAGGAGGAATCAAGGTAGAGCTTGAGAGACTGGTTAGCTGCCCTGAGAGTATGGAAGATGAGCTATGCGTTGTCAAAATCATACTGAACCTGGAGGCGCATCAATTTACATATGTTTTGCTGTACACGTGACTACTATAAGTTGTCATGTTCTCAGCATTTTTTCAGCGAAGAATCCTTGAGAAAAGATAAAGATTATGATCGTCTTTTGCCTTTCGGGTGACGTGTTTTCGACTCCTGCCTGTGTGAATTCAGATTAGTGTCCAACCGATTTGATCTTTTCGCCACCTGCGAGAAAAAAAGGCAGATGGCCTACTTCCGGGAGAATCTCTATGCGGACTTCTTCACCAAGTGCGCTATGAGCCAGGAGATTTTCAAGCAGCCAGGGATCCCAGGGATGGAGACGCACAGGTTCCGAGAGACGTACGGGTTTCTGGGAGAAGACCCTGAGAAAACCCGACGAGCCTTCCTTCGGAATCCATTCGGGTCGCCATGATCGCCTTTCAGGCCGGACTTCATCGGTTTGGAAAACACAGCTGTGCTGTGCTGGAGAGGTTCCACCTGCGTTTGACCTTGTACCGACCCACCTTTCGTACCCTTTTCAATCCGCCCCTCCCACCCTGAGAAACATCAGAAACCACGGGCCCCTTTTTCACCGGAACTCAGGTCGCAGACCAGGCTTCACTACATCGCCGATGGAGTTCTGCGCTCCTCCTATGACATCCTGCACAAACCCAAACAAGCCGCCAGCCGAGATCAACCCCCGCACCCTCCCGCGCCCTCTCCGGTGCTTGTGAAGTGGACGGTCTTGAAGTGACCGCGCGCATCGCGCGGGACCTGACTGGCTGGTCAGGCCTGGAGCGGTCTTTTCCCAGGGAGGGTGTGCTTGAGTGGGGGGTTCCACCAGACCCGAGTTGGGTGAGAGTGTGGCTGGGGAGACATGGCACCATGGCACCACACCGCACCCTTGACCTCTGACAGTGAGCAGATCCCCTCCAGGGCCATCCAAGAGGTCTTTCCTGGTGACAAGAGGTGCAGAAAAGCCTCCAAAAAGCCACCTGTTGGAGGGATGTCAACCGCAACCGGTTCGGTAGGTCTGGGGTGACTCATGTGATGTCACGGTGATGTCACGGTGATGTCAGAGCAATGCTGGACTAAACGACCAGGTCGAATCTCCAGAAGGTCAGTTGTGTCAATTCACATGAGTTCAATGGGCCCCATTGGGCATCACCTGAAACATGTACCAATTAGGCTTATATATATAGCTATCTTAAAGTTGCGCGTAGTTCTGCATGGTTTTTTTAAGACTCACCATTTACCTCATTCATAAGTAGTTTGCCACGCCTTTTAAGAAAGTACATTCTACCTGGATCATCCGTCACCAAAAGATCACCCAATTTTCCATGATCCTGGTATGTAAAGAACTCGTTCAAGGGCCATCCAAGAAATCTCCAATGGACCTACTAACTACATAAATCTTCAGCCACAGACCTCGATCCTGTAGGTCCTGATTTCACTGGCTGCCACGAATTCTCTTCGATGCCCCTCTTTGAGGTCATGGTCGATGAGCTCTCTGCTCTGGGTTTGCGACATGTAGGCAGCCGTTCTCCGGTGTTCTCCGCTCCGAAAGTTGCGCAGTGAGACAGAGTAACACCTGTGCTTGCGCCTTCTCGAGAACTCTCGAAGTGCTTGTTTTTTGTTGTGACTCTAAAGGCACTCTGCTATATACAGGCAAAAGACAATTTCGTCACTCTAGAGGCTACCCTGCCTTGGGGGGCAGGCTCCGCAGAAAGAGCTAACTTTGATGGTTGGAAAGGGGTCTACTTTTAGGTTGTATGCTGGGTCCCTCATCGGAAGGTGTTTTCACGCGGTACTGGCAACCCAATATGATGTGATATATACGGGTTGATGTCAGGTCTGTGTCGTCTTAGTCAGCACCACATGCAAAACACCGAACGGAAGAAGCACCAAGACACCACAGCCTTTGCAAAAAAGGTGAGAGTAGGTCGGGCGCACAGGCCTGCTGAAACAATGAGCCTTCTATTCTGTGGTGGGTCCTGCAAGCAGTTCACAAGGGATTTTCCACATACAGGAAAGACAAGTACAGGAAGCAACAGGGTCATTTCCAGGCTTGCCAGTGCAGTTTGTAATGGAACAATTGGGAGAGCTAGTGGGGTTCTTCCTTCCAGTATAGGAAGAGGTACCTCGTTGCAGGGTGTTGCTGCCAGAAGTCTGTGGGCTTGGCATGGTTTTTGTATGTGTTTTCTTTTTGTCTTGGCAGAATTCTACAGCGCTCCAGTGGGATTGACATGCGGCAAGAGGATGTAAATCAATCAAGCCCACACTCTTTTTAGAACTAGCGTTCCAGAATGTTCCAGGTTTTTTTGCACTCTTTGGGTCTACTTTTTTGGTGAGAATTCTTGTTTGGGTATCATCTTTCCATTGGGATTAGCTCCTGGGGGATGACCACAATTCTTTAAACACGTTTTGGACTTCCAGAGTGTATATATATAAGGCTTTATCCACAAGAGGCTAGTGACAGAAATCTTCCAAATCAAACCTCTATCCTGAAGTTTTCACCACCCAACCACCAGCAAAAACAACTACAGTAATCACGCCACAAAACTACTCACTACCCACGGAGCAAACCACCATGAGAACGCCTTACATCTCTTCCTGATATGTACTGTCCATCCCAAAAGACCACCCAGTTGCTTTGGCTCCGCAAGCGGAGGCTATGGGATCCCCATTGAGCTCTTTGCTCCCTTCACCGACTCCTGCGTCCTGGTCATCAAGCAACTCGTTGCCGAGATGCCCAAATCCGATCCTCGGCCAAGGGAGAGATATTCGCTGTATTCGTTTCAAAAACTATACCCAAACACTCTATATGTATGGCATATTGACCTACATTCACCCCTCAAACCACCTCAAGATGGTTCACCATAAAATTCTTATAAGCCACACTGTCACGAGACATTCCTCCAAGCTGTCACCTTTGCCGCCTCCACTGCGCGTGTCTTTCGATGCCGGAGTCCGCCGGAGTCCACGCGGCAAGGAGTCGATGAAGATTGTCGCATGCCCCGCCGTTGGTCTGCATCAGGCAGAAGTGGCCTGGCACGAGAACCAGTCTGGAGGGGTGAAAGTCTGGAAGAGAAAAACCTACAGCTCCAGTCTGATTTAGTAGAAGATGGTCCTGAAAGCCTCATTCGAGGAGTGTGAACTTGTAATATTATGGGCAACTCCTTTCATAAGGTTTAACTGACCTGCAGGGAAATCTATTGGCAGGACAGTCCACTTCTGAAGCCTTTGTTGGTATGGTTTCTCGATCTTTTTGGCGGCGATGGAGGCAACCTCGGCGTAAGTGATATGAATGTTTGAGCATCTTGGGTTCAGAGTGAACGACACAATGCGGGCTTTGCCTGATTTCTCCCCTGAGTTTAATGTTTAAACCAAACCCTTTCTCTATGCCAGCCAAAGGTGTAGAATCAGGCAAGGCCATGCATGGCTTACATTTTTCGACTTGCATATATGTTCAGGGATTCATACTGCAGCTGGTTTTGGCGTATAATATTCAGAGGTCGTAAAAAAAAAAAAAAAACATGTCACATTATCGATCTATTACAATTTTGTAGAATGCTTGATCCTATATATACTCTGTCTTCAACCTATCTCTCGCAGACATCTCGCAGAAACTCCGCCAGGACCGAGCCCCTAACCTCTCGCGTCAGTTGAGCCGATACCCCACCGGTTCGCCGCTTTACCTTCCAACATCGTTCGGGACGTCCTGAGGAGCGTGACGTCCCAGAATATATGATGGTCGAGGGCTTCCGCTGGTCCATCGGCGCCTCGACTTGTAGAACTGCTCCCCGACGATCCGACGTCGTGCTGGTTGGACGTTTGATGGTTGGTGTTGTGTTTGTTGTGAGGGAGGGAGGGGTGAGTGGGGAGACAGGCACGCAGGCCTGCCTGTTTCCGAGAACCAGTCTGTTCCCGCGCTAGGTTGGAGTCACATGATGGACGCGTAATTATATCACTCCATGGCCCACCGGTCACGGGTGACGAGACCGTTTTACACACCGGCCTGAGCGACGCTGAAGCTCGTTTTCCATGCAGCTCGAGGCCCAAACACTGCATGTATGGCATGCCTACATTCACCTCGAAAACCACCCCAATTCTAGGCAAATATGGCAGTCCCATAGCATGGAGTGTCTGTGATATACAGCATACATATCAGGATATCCACCGATTCCGGAGCGATTGCCATCCGATTTGAGACAGCTTTAAGCCGATTCTTCCGAGAAATCAGTGAAGTCAAGGAGTGGTGTCCAAGACCCCTGGGTGCACATAACAAAAAGATCAAACTGGGAACGCGGCGTACATGTCAAACCGAAACTTGTTCAACTGGCTGGTTCCAAGTTCAACTAATTCACCACTTCAATCCACCTTTTTCACCCCGCTTCACCTTCGCCTTCGGCCGTTGCCGCGTCGAAGTGCGCGTCCAAGAGCGTCTCGTCTCTCGTTTTCGGCAGCAAATACTCTTCCCCACGATGGGACTGCCGCCCACCGACAGACCCTTGTTTCGACCACCTCAGACACCCCGAACCGACGTGATCGGATGAAACGAGGCCGTGATCGGTACCGTCGTCGACGCCGAAAGCCTGGCCAGGCCTCGTGGCACGTTTGCTGATGCGGATCATCACCGAAGGGTCCACTGCTGTGATGCCGTTCGGTGCAACAGGCTATGAGGCCAAATCGCTTCGCCCGGGCGGGCGGGCTGTTTAACGGGTGGGGTGGCGACCATTCGCGTTGGGAAAACCAGGTTCCGGCGGTGGACAGCGGGTGCAGGCTGTCGTTGGCTGGGTTTTTCGGTCTTAGAGTTGAAATGGCTGGGCCGAAAGGTCTAGAGGGTCACCACCCCTGCCGAGGGTCGGATTCTGCTTTGGGTCAAACGAAAAGGCTCCCCTTTGGTCGTTCGCATCCAGGTGTTTGGCATGTTTTTGTTTGTCCAGCGGGACCGGTGTGATGCAGGAGTTTGGGGGTTGTTTATCAAAGACCTTGGTCAATACCTCGAGTTTGGGTTGTTGGCGAGTTCATGCATTGGACAAGGACAGAGTTCAAGCCGACGTTGAACAGGATGGGATTCAACGGCTTCTCTGGGTCGATTCTCTCATAGGGTTTGTGATGGTCATATGATGTGACGACCTTCATTGAACTTCGTGTTCATCATTTCATCCCCCAACTGCCGCAACTGCGCAACTGCAGAACACGTGCGGTGCCAAGGCAGGCGATTTGTTTGGATAATTCTGATCTCTTGCAGCAGGCATTGAGGGAAGCTCCCCGGGCTCCTTGGAGGAACGGGTTTGTGGGTGTTGGAAATGTGGGTGAACCATAAGTTCACGATGACTGTGATGAACTGAGAGACCGTGTTCTGCATGTTTTTTGCTTGAGGTCACTTGAGGTCCACTTGTAGAATGCCTCTTTGCTGTTCAGATGAAGTTGGTCCAATACCTGAAATCGAACACACGGAGTGGGCGCAAACTTGGTTCAGAATAGAACCCAGACATGCATGGGACTGACAGATTTGCCTACATTGGGGTGGTCGAAAACAGGCCAGTGATGGGTCAATATGGCATACGTACGCACGTACTACATACTAGGCGCTTCGAAAGTACCACAAAAATTGGAACAAGTAGACAAAATGACAGTTATTTTTCCAGTTTGTTCCCTTTTTGGGGCGTAAGTAACTGTTTTGGGAATTTGGAGTGTGTGGGTTGTCCCTCCATACTTCGATTTGCATCATGTCATGAGTATACTCATGTAGCCGCTTGGGGCTCATAATGCTTGGAAGACTGGTGAAGATGCCTGGCCCGATGCACACTTGCAACAGTGCATGTTCTACTTGAGACGTAGCAAGCTAATTCAGTTGCCAGAAACAATTACAGACTCGAGCTCAATTACGTGATCCGGACACAATTAATAAGTGCGGAGTTGCAACTTTGATCACAGTTCGCGGGAACAAATGTAGAAGGGTTTCCTGGAACTGTAGCTGAAATCCCCATTGACTGCAACATGTCTTTCGCCGTCCGGCAATTTTCACTATGACTGGTTTGTTCCTTTTGTTTAGGAAATGTTACCTTCTTCCATTTTTGTTACCTTTGTTCATCTAAAAACCGTTGGTCCTTCTTTTTTGCGACATGGAGGTTTCAAACGTTCAAAAACAAATTGTGCATTCAAACATTCCTGCGCACTACATGTTTTTCAGAACAAAACACGCGCAAGCCTTGAAGTGCACATGTTCTACCCATTTGCTGAATTGAATGGCATGTTCCCACTTCCAAAGCCTGTCATACGGTGGCAAATGGGAACATGCAGCTATTTCAGAAATAGAGATACCTTCGTGGGTCGATGTGTCAATCCCAGAGGAATGGTGCACGCTGCTCCATCCAGAGATTCAGAGCTTGTCAAGCCGGCAGGGCTTCATGTTGTGGAAGGAAATTGGGGTGACAATTTGGTCCTACTCGGAAATACCTGTCCAATACACGCCTTGACCCTTTCTATACACGTCTTTCCCGCCCACAGTTACGAAGCTTATCAGATTATGAATTAGCAGGATATGTCGGAGAGTGAGTTCAAGACCTGTAACTGTAAGCCACAGAGCGCTAGACCGGATCCGTTTCAGAATGAAATGGGATCTCCGGAAGTTGAGCTGGAAGGCCCGGTCAAGTGACACACAGGGCCTCCTAGTGTGTTCAAAAGAAGACCATGCTCACAGAGTCGCACGGCTTTGTTCAAGTGCGCAGGTTGTGTCCAACAAAGATCCAGGTGCACATACATTATAATGATAAACATTTTAACCACATATGTTGACGGCATACCTACATGTTCGTTTGTGTATCTAGCTACTTCAAATCAAACATAGTTCATGGGGCAAGCAGCGGAAACTTCCGTAGTGCAGCACTTCTTGGATTTGGCAAAGAATGGGGGAAATGACCAACAGCAACACTTCACACAAGAGAAACACAAGAAACAAAACGGTGCAACTTTTTTGTTGCAGTACTGAAGTTCCAAAATCGCAGGCGAACCCATGAAGCGGCAGTTTTTCCAGAAAACGAACAAAGCAACATCAAACGACAGAAATTAGCTGAACTGCACTAAGCAACAACAATTTCTACATGCCTGGGTGTCTTATAGGTATATCGGTATATCATAGTTATACACATGGAATGCTTGGGGATGGCACTAATAACAGTTTGACCTCCAAGGTTGGAAACCTCAAACAAAATGCACAAAAACTGTCGTCCATGATGGCAGCGGTAGGTGCTAAAACATTGAAAAACATAGAATATGTGATGGACCAAAAGCCTTCGCAAGGACCGCTACGATGCGAACTCCCCAGCTTTGCGAACGATGCGAACTCTGCATGGTGTTCGGTTCTGACCCGAAAACGTTCCGAAAAGGCTTCGCATGTACAGCTGCGGCCCGTCGCCCAGGCTCGGCGCTCAAAGTTACAGCTGCGGGTTCGCGTGGGGAGCCAGACGATTTCTCCCTTGTACTGGGCCCTCAGGAGCGGTGCGGTCTACCGATTTTCCAAGCAGATAGAGGATGATAGAGGGACGATTTTCCCGATCGGCTCGTGTTTTCAAGATCGAATTTGCAGCGGAAAACTACAAAAACAATCAAAAACGATCAGACCAGCATGTAGACTTGTAAAAACCCGCAGAGTAAAAAAACTAATTGATTACGTGACGTGGATTCCCTTACACTTGGCTCAAGCTGAAGTTGGGGGTTTCAAAGCCGATGGTCAAGCAGATCGAAGCATTTGCATTACTCTCAAAACAGGGACTAGTCGTTGGAAAGCAAATCGAGTCAACCTAAGTCGTTGGTTTTGACTTCGAACTCGGAGATCATGACCGCTTGCTTCGAATTCGTTTGTGCTAGGAGTGGTCGACATACCTCAGCAAAGACGATGCTGGAAGATATTCTCACCATTCGCGCGGACACTTGGGAAGACTCGTTGGTCGTCGGAGACAGGTCATAACAAGTGCGATTCATTCACCCTGTGCCTCCAAACACCTTCTCAGAAGGTATTTGGAGGCCCAGGGTCAGAGATTGATTTGGGTTTTGTCTCGAAGTGGCCGTCATGTTTGCTCCACGAGATCGTGTCATTGCCCTAGCTTGAACGTTCCATGATCAGTATCGTTACTGCCGGTGTCCGCATGTGACCAAACAGGAAACAGGATTTCGGACAGTTCCTGCTCCTCTTGTTCCGTCCAGTTGGAGGAGACTCAGACACTTCTATCCTCAGACACTACTTGAGTTGGTCATGGAAAAACACCACTCAGGCAGTTTGCTTTTTGAAGTTCCACCCGGTGAGGCTGCACCTGTCGAGCAGAGACCTTGACAGATATCATGAGTCTTCACCCGGCTCAAGCAGTGGGATCGGATTTAAAGGTTGTGAGGGGAAGGTTATGGTTGAGGTAGCTGGAAAGGTTTAACCAATTGTTTGGATATTGTTTGGCTTTGTTTGGTTGTATTTATGCTTGAGAATTTGAAGGAGGTTGCATACACTTGTAATGTGGATTATTGTTTGGAGGGTGGTCGATGTTGGCAAAGAAAAACAAGAACACCTCATGCATTTTTCCTCACTCACTAGGCCACTAGGCTGGTTCTTCAGAAACGACTCTAGGGGATTCTGGGGGGACAATATGGAGACTAAAATGATCCAAAATGGGATTAAACACTCCCACCACCATTTTCTCAGGAGGTGGTTGGAGGTGTAGGGCACAAACTTCATCTATGTTTCCCAGGAAGTGCTTTAATCATTGGGTTGGATTGATGGAACGACTCCGGAGTCGAGCATTTGGAGGAAACACCATGCGCGCACAGAGTCGAGTCTTGGTCCGGTATCCGGATTGATCAATTGGATCATGGCAGATGCCTGACTACGCAGAATCGGAAAGCAAGAGCCTATAGATAGCCTATTTTAGATAGTCCTGTATATATATATATATAGCTGTTGCTCAGGTTTATATATATATAGGGAAACTGCATGACTATGAATGACTGGTTTCGGCCCACAATGACAGGTTTCTCTCTTCTATACTATTGGCAGACATCAGAAATAGCTGATTCCACCACGCAAAAAAAAAGGTGCAAAAACACCGAACACCGGGTTACATCACTCCTTTTTCCGGGCGATGTAACCCGGAAACCACCGGAGCTTTGGGGGTGTTCACGGTCGACGTCACCACACACGGAACCCACACAAAGAAACCCCATGGGGTCCGTGCACGATATCCCAGGATCGAGACAAATACTACTATGGCAACAATGACATCTTCAGGTGCGCCGGACAACACCCCTGAGACCTCGAGGACGCCTTGAAAACTCGCCCGCTTTGCGATTCCCCAGCAAAATCGCGGAAGCGCGGAGGCGGGTCGACCCGTCCGGCATTCCAAGGACATCAAAAGACAGTTTCCGTAAGCCATCGTAAGCCTAACAAGAAGTTGTACCGGTATCATCCGCCGAAAAGCTCACGAGCAACTGGAGGTACCAGCCGAACATTGCTGCGGACTTGTTGCAAGAAGCTCCCAAGTTGGTGCAGACCTTGCTGGATGGGTTGATTTGGCGCTCACACAAGACACAGGCACCGTGCTCTCGAGCGCGCGGCGGTGACGGTGACGGCGATTTCTAGCCGAAGGGGCAATGGCGGGCTCAAGGGTGGAAAGGAGACTAGCTGAAGGAAGCGATATCGCTAGGCTACTAGCAGCTCCTGGCATTACTGCTAGTAACAAGAAGCTACTAATTATTAGCAAAGGGCATTACTGTTTACTGCTCGTAGCAAGAATGAACACGTTCGTAGCATCAGACGACCGTTTTTGGCTGCAGGTTTTGATGGCAGTGTGATGGCTTCGTCGGCGTGTGATGAGTCGCCTTTTCAAAGGAACAACCAGGTTGTCCAGTCTTTTGCTTGCCCACTTACGCGGTGCGTCGTGTTTCTGGCCGCTGGAACGCTCGGAAGAACGCTGCTTGTGCTGCACCGCTCCAAAGAATGCTCCGATCATCTCCGATCCGATGCAGTTTTCAACTACTGCGATGTATATATATATATTAATTAATATATATATATATATACCCTACACCTCCAGTCGTACCTCCTCAGGTTCGGTATGACAGAACCCTCCAAACCCATCCACCCCAGTCCCACCTTCTCAGCAGGTGGGACTGGAGGCCCAGGGATAATGCCTGCAGCGATCCAGTTTCTATTAGATATAAATAGCAAGTCCGAGCCCGGGTCGTGCTTCATCAAGTCCGCAACTCGTGGCAGGATGGACTGCGGCCGGTGATTTACTACATGGAGCATCTATTGCAAGACATGGATGAGAATCAGATGCTCTCCCGAGCCTTGTTGAGCTTCATGCACTTCAAGGAGCCTTCTCAAGCTGTCAGGGCCTCTTTTTCGTTTCAACGATCATGTCAACCCTTAACCGGGCTCCGGTCGGAGCTTGTGAGGTTCGGTGGGACTGGGGTTGGGTTGAGGGTATGACGTCATACCATCTGAAGAGGCACGACTGGAGCCCTGGGGTAAGTATCAATAACTTGGTCCCTTTCGGCACCGATGCTGGCCTTTTCAGAAGGTCTCGAGTCGAAGAGATCAGGCGTCTCTCAGCTCATGATGCTGATGTTCAACAGTGCTTCATGATGCTTCATGGCAAATTTAAGGTGCCTTCATCGTATTTTCACATGACAATGTGGGAAAACCAAAGCCACGGAAGAGGGTTGATATTATAGTAATTAGTAGTGTCATTCGCGTTTGGGTGTCCACGTTCTAAGAGAGAATACCCTGGATGGGTGTCCACTTCAACATGGGCAGTGGACTTGGATCTTTTCTGAAGTCATCCACACCCAATCACTTGACGATCCTCGAAGTCACCCAGACACTCCATTTATGGAATTCCATTCCCTAAGGCTCCGGTGGTACCCCCTTGAGGTTCCCTTAATTCGGTACCCGAACCTGAGGTTTAGAGGCTTCAGTCATACCGAACCTGAGGAAATTTACGACAGGAGTCCCATGGGAGCCACAGCTCAAATCAGCTGCTCCGATCGGAGTTCCTAGCCGTCAGTCTTCGTCGGCCCCGTTGTCTGCGCGGAAAGAGTTATTCCGCGCCTCGCCGCGCTGCGCGCCTGGAGGATCCAAAGGTCATTGTCCACCCCATCCTGATGTTTGTGCTGGATTTGCTCTGGGAGAAACTGGCGCCTGGCTGGACTGGTCTGAGATGAGGTTGAGATGTTCGGGATTCCGGTGGAAGTCGGACCGAATTCTGGAAGATCAGGTGGAACCCAATATGTTGGTTCCCTTGGAAGATGTATAGATCTACATTCTTTTCTATGGTGGGACCTATAGTGACCTAATGATGTACGCTTTGTTGTACTTTGGACATTTTGCCACGTGGTACTTTGAAGGTGTTTGTTCGATCAGCACGTGGTTTCGATGAACGGTGACCCCCCAAAGGACGCGCTCCCCAACACCCGGGGACCGGTTGAAGCGAGATCGCCGAATGGAGCCGACCAAAGAACCTGGGATTGCCCGGGTGGGTGCCAAATACTTGGCCAAATTTGATTTGCAACACGTTGCAACAAAAGCCTGTAGCATTCAACCAGATTTCACCGATTTCGCTGGGCGCAGGCTGACCCCATTTGCTTCACACCTTTTCATTCCAGACCACCGGGCGCCCGCAAGCACCGAAACGGCCGTTTCGTCGCCCGGTTTCACGCTGCGCCACTCCGTCGTCGCCCATCGGAGTCCCTTCCGCCGGTGCCGTCAGATCCTGCGATTCTTTGTGTCGGACCAAATCTTCCGAGCGGTGAACTTCATCATCTACCTCTTTGCCGCCTGTACCTGGGCTGCCGCGTTCCGCGGTCCGCGGTCCGCGGCTATGAGGGTCCATCCGATCTCTCAAGGTGCAGCACAGCCCGGTGCACGGATGCAAACGACCCTATGATCAAGGGCCCGTGCCGAAAATCAGTGGTTTGACCGTTTTGGGGGATTCAAGGCAGCATGCCGATCGTGGTTTGCGCGGCTGCGGTGCTTTCTTTGGATTTCTCAGGGGGGTTCAAGCCAATTTCACCTATAGAATCCTCGGCGGGACCTGTGAGGCCACGGACGTCTGAGGTTTCTTTAATACCGATGAAGCAATTGCAGATCCGGTGTCACCTGGCGGGAGGAGGTTGGTCGGGACCGAACTCGGCCCACTGGGCAAGACGAGGGGCCGAACTCGGCCCCCTTTGGGTTTGACGATTTGAGAAGCAAAAAAGAGAGGCCTCCCTGATGTGGGTCATGACGGGGTGTTGATCCAACGGTTGAAACATGGAAAGAAGGACATGTTGTCTGAAGCTACAACTGGTGAAGGCGCTGGGGCACCTAAATTGAACGATCATGGCACTGAAGCGGTGTTCTTTTAAAAATCTGATCATGCAGGAATGAGATCATGGACTTGGAGGCATTGGCAAGATGTCTCACCATGGTTGTTGTGGTTGTGGTTGTGGTTGTGGTAGTTGTTGTTGTGGTTCTTGTGGTTGTGGTTGTTTTGGTTCATGTTGATGTTGTTGACGATGAAGACTTGACATATACCAAAAGCAGCCATGTAGTTGTTGAATATCACATCTTCACCTATTCACGATCTAGATATTCTTGGTCAGAATGTGCCGACCTTGTAAACAACTCCCACAAACCGCCAAGGACCTGGACCTGAAAGGGGGTGTCCTGATCCCATCGTAGCCTGGGGCGAAACCAGCCAGGTGACCCCGACATGAAGGAGCTGGGAGACTTAAGTGTGCCTGAGCGACCCAAAATCATCCAAACTGGTCGCCCTCCTCCCAGGTCGAACCCGCTGCCATCTCAGAGCAGAGTGACTGACACACCCAAGGATGTCCAAAATGCTGGCTGCTTCGCGGCTTTTGGTCTACATCCTGGGCTTCGGCTATTTGTTGACTACCAACATCCGTGAACTCTGGAAGCACATGAGCAGCCTTGAGGAGGTCGGAAGCACGCGCAGCTGATCGCATGTTGGGTTTTGTCGGATAGCACGCAGCATCTCGGAGTCGGACCGGGTTGAGGATATCGAGAACACGAAAGGATCATGAACGTTTTCGCACAAGACAATTGATGCGAGTGACTTTAATTAGTCCCACACTCCATGGGACTGGCATATTTACGTATACATTGGGGTGGTGCCAGAGGGGTCAATGGGGCGGCATATATGGCAGTCCCATGGAGTGTCTGGGAGTGGTTTCATGGAGGAGGAGACGTGCAACATCTCCTCTAAGGGTCTTGATTCGATCGCTCGGTCGACTGCCTTCCAGATCTCTGATGAGAAGGCAGATCTCTCAGTGTCTTGGGTGGGGTGTTCGGGACTCGATCGGTTTCTTCCAACCGGGTCAGTGGGATTCCGCTCCGGAGGATCACCGGCGACTTGGCGCATGTCGAAAGTGTCCTGAATTCTTGAAGAAGACCTCTGGTGTCCTCAGCCGCCTGGCGAATGTGATGCACGGAATGCCCATATGCTGTATGCTGCATGCATAGACAAGAACAGAAAGAAACACAATGTATTTTCTGAACCTTGTCACTGGATGTCACTGGTATATTATTCATGAATGGGAATTCCTAATGATTCACTGATGGATTTGAATTTGAATCTCCAGCACGTGAAGCTGTTCAGCCCCCACAAGGCTTCTTGTTGATGATGAACCTTGCAGTGATGCTCACAGCACCTTGGGTGATTGATTGAGAGAGAGAGAGAGAGAGAGCGCGAGCGCGGAGGGGATCGGGATCGATCATCGCCAATGCGTTGTTTCTGAGATCCTGCGACGCTCACGATCGGCGGCCGCGGGCCCGAACCGCCCGAGTTCGCTCTGCTTCCGGGCGAAGTCGGAAGCACCGGGTTTCAACCCGGAGACCACCGGAAAACTGGTAACGTTTGGATCCACTGGATCCACTGGATCGGATGAAACATCTCGTGTTCGTAACATGACATGCTCACATGCAGACGCGCCCGACTCGACTCCGACGGGTCTTCTTGCGACAGTCTTCGAAGGATTTTCTTCATGGTTATAGCCCGGCTGAGACCATCCGTTCGCAGGGCAAGACTGACCCGGAACCTGAGCGAAGCTTGCTGCCACCCGTTCACGCGCTTCGAACCCTACACAAGGGGTTCTATTTATTTGGCACTCCAGCTGCCGAGAAAACCCAGTTTCGCACGGAAGAGGCTGCCATCGATCACGTTTGCGATTCCTCCAGGCAGCCACCCTGGCAACGAGATGTTTTGCGATTGAGACCCTCAACAGATTTGGTGTCCCAGACACTCCATGGGACTGGTATATTTATATACCTACATTGGGGTGGTTTGAGGGGTCAATGTAGGCATAATATATGGCATACATGGAGTGTCTGGGTGTTGTAGTGTAAACTCCTATATTCGACAAATCCTGTTTCTTGGGATTCCAGCCTCTTCAATGGATGCTCAGAATCCAGGCTTGATCTCGGGTGGCCTTGGGAGACTGGTCTAACTGGTGTAAACATGTGCAAACTGCGCGCCTGGTCAACATCCACACGTCATTCTCGGTCATTCAAACACCACCTGTGAAACAATCTCGCAGTCTCGTCATTCTCGGTCAGATGGTTTCACCTAAAGATCCAAACCGCCCAGTCGCACCGTGAGTGGTGACACGAAGCAGCCGGGTGAGACCGACGCGCGACGCGCTCGGCCCAGCGCGCTCGATGAGATCGATCGCGATCGGCCCCGGTTGGAAGCCACGGGTCACGGTCACCCAATCGTTTGGACAGGCGCCTTCCACCCGTGACGAGGTCGAACCCTTGCTCCATTGCTTCGGGAAGACGGAGGCGGACGACGTGAAACGATGGGGAGGGATGAGGGATGGACGGGGTGTGGTGAAGTTTCGAAGAAAAGCAAGGTCAACCTGGACCTCAGAGCAGGTCGTATGAGGTACAGGACAAGGCTGTGGGTCTTAAGAAAACATTAAGAAATACATAGAAATACTAGCCTTTGCAAAGGGTGTCTTTTGGATGGAAAACACCTATAGTATCTATAGTATAGAGTCAGTGGGTTTATGAACCACCCGACCTGGGTGGTGCCGGTTTAACCACCCACCAGACGATGTAAACAGACCGTCCTTTCCCTTGGGACCAAAAAGAGCCTGGCTCGTCTCGGTTCATCACCCGAGACCGACCATTCGGGCGGAACCGTTTTTGGGCAACACGAAGAAAAACCGAGGCGACCGAGGTTGACCGTTCCATGTTTTCCAGAAAAACCGACGAAAAGAGAAGAAAGTTCCAAGTCTTGTTCCATTGCTCAAGTCTTGGAAACCTCTTCATGGCCCAAGTTCGCCCTGTTCTTCGCCCTTTTCAGGGATGGATCTCCTTTACCTGCGATGCCTGGACCGACCACATGCGTTCCTCGGCCCAACCCACCGTATGGAGTCCACTCACTCGGCCACCGCCTGCGGGGTGATCGACGTGTGGCGGAGGTCGGAATGGTGAGGCCTCACACGAAGTCTATGTGGGAAGAAATGATCTAGACTCACTGCCTCATGCGAGGATGAAGAATAGTGAAGAAGGGACATGGCCTCCATCATTGAACAATGAGCATGTATAGAGGTTTGTGAAGAGTTCTGCGAGTTGGGTATCTCGCCGAGCTGGCCGAGCTTCGGTGTCTCCAAGCTTCGGGAGGTGGATGTTCCAGGGGGGTCCCTCGACGCAATGCGGCGAGCTTGCGATCGTTGCTTCCTCCCCTCGTGGAACGGTGCTGAGCTCGGAAGTTCGAAGTTCACTTCGCCACCTTGAAAGTAGACGATCATGCGTGCGAACCCGAATTAATAAACGGGTTATATAACTAGAGGCGAGGGGATTTATGAATCCATATGAATCCTAATCTTTACATTCCAGCACCACCCAAAGGGTTTATAGACCCCCAAGATGTATACTTTCCATCTAATGACCACCCAAACTGGGTGGTGCTGGTTATATCAACTGCCTCTTCCCGGACGTCACATGTCGCTCGGGGGTGCCGGTTGCAGAGGTGCTCGGAGTAGAGGTGCCCCGACGTCACATCAACGGCTGGATGGGACCATCCATGTGACTCCTGGTTCCTGGTTCTAGTGACCGAACTTGATCATGCAGAGGCGGAGAGGGTAGGTAGGTCGGTTCTTTTTCAGGCTGAATTGGCAGGTCGGCTGGTTTTTTAGAAAGCACCGCTTTCTGGACCAATACCCTACAAGTCAAGGACATCATTCTACTGGAGATGGTCATTCAAAACCAATACTTAGTCGACCAAGTTTTACCGGGTCAGACTGGACGAACGTAGGGAATACGTCCTTTGCCTGTGTCCTTGGAACCAGCCCCAAAAAGCTCCAGGTGAAACCGTCCCCCTTTGGACTCCCTAGACACCTGTGGACCGTCCCTCGAAACCTGTGCATCTGAGATTTGGTCCACGAGATTTGTTTGGTGCTCGGAATCTTCTTGCACCTTGGGAGGAGTCGTGCTAGCTGTCGACAAGTCACGTGGACGTCTATACCTGGACCCGACTGACCCAGTGACTGACCCAGTACCTTTGAAAATGGGACATGACCCCTTGAAAAACAGGTATACTTGTACCCATGTTCCGAGGTACTTTGAGACTCCAGGTATTTAGTTCATATATAGGTCAGATGGTACACAGGTCTTTCATAGCCCTGTTCTGAACTCCTTGGAACTTCAGAAGCACGCAGAAGAGTCAAACTGGAAAGAGATAGACATTATATAGGCATTACGTGAACCATGGTCATGCGGAATACACGACACACGACTGGTCATGTCTTGTGCGGTGTTCTCAATGGTTAACATGCACTCTCCCAATGTGACCCCGAAACCGATGCCTTTTGTTCGTGGACACCGCGGTGTCCAGTCCGGGCAGCCTCACGAAACCAGGCACCCGATCGGCAGCCTGAGTCGTTCATCGTGGTTTTTCAGTACCCAGACTATATATGGGACTGCCATATGCCGTCCCATTGACCCCTAAAACCACCCCAATGGAGTGCCTGGGGTATGACTCTCTGGGTCCCATGGGTTCCCATGGGTCTTCTGGCGATCGGTCTCGTGTCGATCGGTCTCATCGGGTCTGGAGATGTGAGGTGCGACTGCAGGCCATGGCAAAGCTGAATGGGACTGACCGTCTGACCCAGTAAAAGCTAGTCCGGTCATGTGTCTTTGTAGGATCAACTCCCAGCAAAATGAGGTCCAACCAAGCTGTAGTAGGGTACACCAGACGGTGAGTGCTTCGTAATCGCAACCGGGAAGCGATGGCTCCACCGAGGTATGTGCTGTTGATCTTTGGTATTGGCAGCAATATCTCCATCACGCTCTCAGAGTACCGCGTCTTGTGTCTGCGTGCTGGGAAGCAGGCAGGACGTGAACACGCCGGAAGAAGGGGTGGGTTCTTGGCCACGGAAACAGGTACGGACCGGCAGCCCATCGGAGGGGCAGCCAGTCGGGAGTCAGTGTTTTGAACGAAGAAAACCAACGATTCGGGTGGTTTTCGTTGGGATCCCTGGCCCTGGCTGTCTATATTTAAGCTACTAAGCTCTATTAAGCGTATTAAGTGGGTATCATATAATCATAGATAAGCTGCTAAGATTCAGTCTGCTATGCAGGATTTGGATGAGTAGAACCTTTGCGTATCGATTTATGGCCGTGGCATTGCTCTCTTAAGCAATCCAATTGAAGGGTGATGGATTCCCAGGGAATCGCCTTTGCCGGCTTCGGAGTCCTGATTGGGTGGTGGCTGAACCGCGCTGACCCAGTGCGTGAGCAAGCTCCTTGTCAGTGTCTGCAGCTGTGCTTTGCCTGATTTGGTGGTCCAGCGAGAGAGATTCTCATCGATTGAGTGGCTGGCTGGGATACTTGGTGTTTGTCTCATTTTGGGATTGCTTGCTTTCGGCCTGATTCTTTTCCCCAAGAAGACATTAGATTCCGGTGAACACGTGTTGAACTTCTCCTTTAAAGGGGGGTACGGAAAGGGAAAATACGGAGCTGAAAGGGGACTGCAAATCTTAGACAGACCAGTGAGATGGCTGAGCCAATTCATCAAGGGCATCTGTGTTCGCGGAGTACGCAGGCTTCCCAGGAGTCATCCACACGAGACTAGCGCTAGATCACGTTGAGGGCAATGAATGGGTGGTGGTGACACCCGATGCCGACATGTACGTTGAGGAGCTGAGCCCGGCTAACTCTGACTTCTCCAGGTTTTTCCACATGCCAGACGGGAACCTCCCACCTCGCATTCCTCGAAACCAAATCTATGCCTTTCAACCTATGACTGCCCAGCAATATGCCCGCTTCGTCTCCAGAGGACAGGCCATGGCGGTTGCCGAAAGAGACAGTCGAGGACTACGCGCCCCGCCAGGTCCGGCAGCACCAGCCGCTGGTCCTGCTGGCGCAGATGGAGCAGCTGATGAGCACGTTTGGGTCTTGGCAGAAATGGTCTCGGGTCATAAGCTTGGAGAGGAGGTAGTGGTTCCCCCAGAAGCTGCTCGAGATGGTGACCATGCATTGATTCACAGATGATAGCAACTTTGATCGCACCGTCCGGGCACAACGATGTAGGAAAGAAGACCTCGGGGTACTTTGTGAATCTCTCATCCAGTCATGCCGCCTAGCGGTTGCCTCTCATGGTGAAGACACTGAAGCTGCAGCAGATGTTCGCACCCTATCCATTCGATACAATTCGAATGGGGAAAGGTATCGGGATTTTCGTGGCTCCATGACGACATGCGACAGGTCGAATTTGACGACTGGCCGCTCGAACCCCGGACCTCCCTCGGCTATATACCTGAGAGCAGTCAGCGAACTCTCCGAGTCTTGTTATGAGCACCACATCAACTGGTGTCAGAGCAGCCGAATCCCGGAAGCGCTCTCGGTCTGGGAAAATGAGACTTTGATTCGGGCCATAGACTTCTCGAGAATCCCTGTGGTTCTCGAGAACCCAAAGTCCTCTCGATCTTGGATCACTCCACTGCTGAAAGCTCTTGCCGCATCGGGCATGCTGAAGTGTTTTGATTTGGATTTTTGCCAGTACGACGAACGATGGAGGAAACCTACGCGCCTGGCTGCGGCTAACGTTGATTTGGCTCCGCTGTGCAAAGAGTGCAAAGGAAGCTTTCTTCAGTGCAGTTTCTCTGGCAAACGTCATGTACAGCTCAAAGGTACTGACAACCAAGGCCGTATCCATATCAGTTATGCAATGATCTGGCTGGTATTGTTTCTAAATACTTCAGTTCGCTCTGCGGATAGGGGAGCAAGGAAAGGCCATTGGTGAAACCAATCTCCATTTCAAGCCACCTTGCTCTCATCATGGCAGCTCATAGCTGCCGAGTGACGCTGCCGTTGGCATCTGGCCAAAAGAATGAGCACAGGTGGAACGGCAATCATTCAGTCTGCTAGGCAGGATTTTGATGAGTAGAATAGAACCTTTGCGTATCGATTTATGGGCGTGGCATTGCTCTCAAGCAATCCAATTGAAGCCGCCTCCAAACCCCTCCACCTCACACAGGGAGCAAGGAAAGGCCATTGGCGAAGCCAATCTCCATTTCAAGCCACCTTGCTCTCATCATCGCAGCTCATAGCTGCCGAGTGACGCCTGCGCTACAGATTTGAACCAAGCTGCCGTTGGCATCTGGCCAAAAGAATGAGCACAGGTGGCACGGCAATCATATACATATATATAAGCTACTAAGCTACATAGAGCTCTCTCTCTATATATATATATATAGTGGGTATATCTACTACTAAGCTCTAAGGGCACGAAGTGACAAGAACTGAATGCGATGATGCAGTGCTGTGACCAGAACTGAGGGACTCTGTCTATGACTCAACATACCGGACATCACTGATGGACATCTCTTTTTTTCACACGGTCGAGTCTTGTAACCGTTTTTGAGAAATTTCTTTTGCAAAAGGGTTAAAGAAACTCTAATTTGGATTGGTTCTACAGTAGTTGTTTTATGCAATGCTTTGAAGCCTCAAACAATTAGGTCCCAGTCTTTTGGTAGATTCCTGTCATTCGGATGGCTCCCCAACCCTGGTTTCAGGTTTTTATGGCATGACATCGTGTGGTCCCTTGTTGGAGAAGCGGCAACTGGCAGTGTTTCTGTGGTTCCTATAGTTCCCATGTGGGTGGGCTCTTTGAAAGGAACACAGGTTTCTGTGTTGTCCACGGTCCCTAGGTCCTAGGTTTTCTCAGACTCAAGAAACTTGGAAGATTTTGCAAATATAAATGAAGTTGCAAGAAGTCAATCAAAAAAATGTTTCGGAACATTTCTCAGATTCTTTGTCTTAGCGGTTGTCATTTTCAGAGTCAGATGCCATTTAGACGCCCTGGGAATTCTGTCGGATGTGCCTTTCAGTTGGGCTCAGCTAGCTTTGTCCATCAAAACATGCCAGCAGTGGCAACAGCGGCAAGCGTGAGTAGCTGTTTTGTTTCAGTGCAATTGATTGGTGGTGGACACAATCCTGAAACGACAGAAGTCATGGCCTGGAGCTAAATGACGATCAAGACACTTGTTACAAGATGTTACAAAGGGAACCCATTCATAGCATAAAATGAATTATTACTATGATATAGCGTTCACTTATATAAAGTATCCCTCTTTCAGACCCAAACTGCACAAGCTGCACATCTTTTCAGAGCCAAATTTCGCAGGTGATGCTTTGCATGAGTGTGGTGACATTGGTGATTTTCACCTTCGGCTTCTGTATCACTGCGATGACCCGTGAGGCGAGTTCCGACTCGAGCGGAGGGACGCGAAGTGCTTGTGGACTGCATGGACACCTTTCTTCACGACGTGACGACACCATGCTATAGAATGCTATATCCCAAACACTCCATGGGACTGCCATATATGCCCTGGCACCACCCCTGGCCGTTTCTCGGCAGTCCTATGGCAGTCCCAGACAGGTCGTGTTTGGATCTTGCTGCTAAATACATGACTTGCAAACGGAACATCCCATCGCTCCACATCGAGGATGTCTTGCTTTCGGAATGCCGACACCGACCGGGGGGGAGAGGGTCGAAGGGTCAGGCGTCAAACCCCTCCGGAGGCGTCCTGGAGGAGATTTTTGGGGGACCGGCCAAAAGTACCTGGCGTCTCAAAGTACCTCTGAAAATGGGTACAAGTACCTGTTTTAAGGGGTAATGTCCCATTTTCTAAGGTACTTTGGAGGGTCTAGGTGTACTCACTCATCGGCAAAAAAGGAAGAGACAAGGCAGACACCGAAGCTGCAAAGAGGTGCGATCAGCCTGTGAGGGTGTTGGTTGCATGCCCAGACACGACCTTTTTCGGCAGATTCACCTTGCATTCATCCTTGGAATCAACCACTCCAATGGTGATTCTAGGTGAATAGTGAAGAACCACCCATGATTTCTTCTTGCATTGACCCATGGAATCACTCCTATATACATATATATATATATATATCCCCCACCGGTGTTAGCCTATAAAATGCCGATGCTTTTACCCTATATTATGCACAGCCTAAATCTTCCTGTGTTTTGGGGGAATTTGGGGGTACGAGGTCCATTTTGGCTATATATATATATATATACTTTAAGGATTTTGAAGCTCTGAGAGTCAAAGGGCATTTCATAGGATGATCGGCTTTTTCATAGATTTGATACTGGGACATAGTCAGTGCATTTAATATGCAAGTGGATTTTAGTGTTAGATGAGTACAGGACCCAGCAAGGCCATTTTCTAAACTACACTGTTTTATCAATGTTCTTTGACATGTTCATACATTGTCCAACTAAAAGGAAAACAGACTCTAATCATTCAAACAAATCAGTATAGACCTTGCAGGCTTTGTAGTTAGCTGGAATTCACCTGCTGGGCTGTTCTTGCAGTGTTGGTTGGCTACATGGATACTTTTGGGTAAATCTTCAAACCAGACACATTTAGAGACCAATGAGGGTATCTGGGCCGTTGGCATGTAGACATAGGCTTACCTGGCACAACGGTAGTATATTATATAAAATGCCCCCGGTGGGTGCCTGCCGGCGTTAGGGCCTTTGCACTTGCCCGCCCATCAGTATCAGGTGTAACTAGCTGGAAGCGTGTGGACACAGGCAATCCAGACGTACCTGGCACAATGGTAGTATCTAACATGGGTCCTTGCACCCACCCTCCACATTGTATAGACTAGCTGGCTTCGTAACTACTGTAGCTGGAAGCCATCCCACAGCCACAGGCTCTATGGTAAATCTTTACCTGACTCTTTTGGAGACCTATATCCTCTAATTGGAGACCCTTGACCATGTTTGGTGAGGTTCTGCGGTGTTGTGAGGCAATTTATAAATTGTGAATGTGTGCTTTATAATTTTGTGCTTGTCTTTTCTATTTTTTTTGGCAGTGGGACCTCACTGGGCATTTTATAGAGAGTGCACGTTTTGATCCATTTTCTATCGTGGGCCCGATAATTATATTTAAGGGCTGCCGCCCCTGCCGCCGACCCCGATTCTCAGGTCCGGCTTTTCCTCCATTGGTTGGCAACACGTCACTAGCAACTCTGTAAAGATGGCCGACAGAAGACCGAGAGGAGCCTACATCACTCCACTTAGAACATCATCCTTGCAAACAACATGTTTCGGTCGATTTCATCAGCTCCAATGCCAAAATCGAATCAGACAATATGGTTAATAATACGACAGATAAGATGACATGACATGGTCTAGTTAGGATTTAGCAGGATCAGTTAAAACATTCCCGCGTTGAAGACAAACATCGATCGGCATGGCCGGCTGTGGAGCCTCCCATGGTCGCACTTTGGCTGCCTAACGCCGCCTCTGAATCCCTAGAAAAAAAGAAGTTTGTGTCCATTTGTCTCGGTCATCTTAACCCCGAACACCTGGTCCCGCCACAGCTTTTCTCAATCTAATTCTGGTCCAAAACAAGCCTCCCACGGTCGCACTTTGGCCCCGAACACCTGGTCCCGCCACAGCTTTTCCCAATCTAATTCTAGTCCAAAAACAGCCTCCCAAAAAGCATCTGAAACCACCCCTTCGCTGCTCCCAGTCAGTCCCTTCGCCACAGCTTTCCACAATCTAATTCGATACACAAAATGCCACCCCTTCGCCAATTCCTCGGACGGTCGGTGTCAAACGGACGCTCTGGATCCCTAGAAAAAAACACTTTCCTAGCATTTTCCACCACTAACCAGCCTCCCAAAAAGCATCTGAAACCACCCCTTCGCCACGGCTTTAACCCATTGAGTTCTGCTCCAAACGAGTTCCTCGGACGGTCGGTGTCAAACGGACGCTCTGGATCCCTATAGGGTTTGCTAGCATTTTCCACCACTAACCAGCCTCCCAAAAAGCATCTGAAACCACCCCTTCGCCACGGCTTTAACCCATTGAGT